TAATATAAAATTTTTAAAAATAAAAAAAAAGTTTATAAAAAAATAAATAAAAATATATTGAATAAAATTTTTTTTCGGTTTCAGCCTGACAATTTTTTTCATTTCGGTTTTGAAATTTTCATTTCGATGCACCTCTAGTGAACATATCAATGATTGGGAAGCTATGTACTCTGAAAGAACTTTTGCAATATGATAAATTCCAAATAGTGTCAATTGTGGACAAAGTCATACAGAAAGCCGAAGAAATGCAATCAAGAAATGATGTCAATGCATAGTAGTATACAACAACATACCCACGGAGACGGGAACAGATTTTAGATGTAATTTCCACATGTGCAATATGGAGCGTTTTTCTTTGGTACATTCAATTACAACCAGGAAAAATTTTTCAGAAAAACCATGCGGGGAGCAGTCTATTGGAGGGTAGAAAAATCAAAGTGGTTAGTCTTCAGCCACCAAGTTCTCTCAAAAGACCAATACATTGCAGCCTGAACAAAGAACACTCAGCAAAACAAAGCTGTTGCCTATTGTACTCAGTCTAATAGTGTGCTTTTATTTGAAATACCTTTTTTTTTTTTAGTGGCCAGAGGGTTTCACTTCTGCAACAGTCTTTACAAATGGTTCCTGAAAATGCATTTCCAGATACCGGTTCAATAAGATTAGTCACCAGAGTTCCTTTTACACCAAGCCTACTGCACTGTGAACATGGACAAAATATGGAATCTCTCAATGCTCACGTGTCATGGACAAACCTTTTATCTGCATCCAAATGTATTAAAGTTGAGCCACATGCTCAACCCAGAAGCAGCATGACCCCCTACATCCTGCGTCAAGGCAGTCCTATTTTAAAATATGACTATTTCCCTTAAATATCCCGAGCAGGAAAAAGGCAAACTGAAAATGTTCCCTTAGGCTGAAATTCAACCCTGATAAAACAGAAGGATTAAAATAACCGTCTTTCAACTGTTTGTCACATGCTCATTCTTCCCATAAGCGTGTCACATGTTCTGCTCTGCTTATCTAATGGTTTTCACACACTGTGTGAAAGATTAAGCCATTGCTGTGGTTTGCCGACACAGACCTCTCTACCACTTCAGTAATTGGCTTATATGTCAGCCATCTAAACAATGTATACAGTTCTGAATTCTGGTAGTTTTACTTTCTAATTGGTTATATTCTCACCAATTATTTGACAGTCTACAGTTTTATTGGTCATTAGACTCTATGCTTAACCCCACACAACTATTTGATTAAATACCAATTCCAAAAAACAGAAAAAAGCACACAAAAAGCTGAAATGTTGTTGTAAAACATACTAGGGTAGTAGCATGTGCAAACACATTCAATCTCCTTCAGAACAGCAGCAGCTCTGCAAAGCACTCTATAAAGGTTGGTGCTGTGGACCTAACAAGATCATGTAACAGCTAAAATGGCAAACCATATAACACAAGCCGAGGGTTTCAGCTTTTATCATTAATAATAATGATAATCACTAGATGGGGACCTGATGGAGAACTGCAGGTCCCCCTCTGCTGATTGACAGCAGCAGTGGGCGGGTACAATAGCTAGTTTGCTATTGCAAAGTGAAATAGCCAATAGGAATCTAGCTTTGCATTCCAATGCTGATTTTTTTTTTTTTTCTGACTTACGGCAGCCGGGGCTCCGATGTCAGAAATAATAAAAAAAATTAAAAAAATCACAGCGAAACCTTTCCGGGAGAAAGTGTTTCTCTCCCGGGCGGCCGGGAGCCGCTATCGAATAGCGGGAGACTCCCGGCGACCCCTGGCAAATTGTCATTCGACCCCCGAAGGGGTCCCGACCCACAGGTTGAGAACCGCTGATGTATAAGGAGAGGGGAAGAGGATATGAGCAGTGCAGGCAGAGGAACACAATAGTGATTGGGACAATTTCAAACATGTCTGATAAATTGTACCCATTGACAGTGGCCAGATGATTGCATCTAGGAAGACCCAAAAACACAAGATCACATAAAATATGGACAACAGAGGTCAGATTCATGCAAGTACATGAAGGACAACTGAACCTTTGGGCAGAGTACCGCAGCACAGTGAATTTTGCTTGACTGGAGCTGAAGGTAAGTATTGATCCTGGATAGCTGCACTTAGGGGCAGCGGGCAAGTCATTAAAGTGTATATATAGCCAAAACTTTTTTGCATAGTTTTTGATATGGTGGGGAAGGATTAGAACCCCTGTCAGGTTTTACTGTCGTCCAGAACTCCATCAGAGGGATCTCCCCTCACTTCCTGTCCCGGGGACTATTTTCTTACCAGACAGAAACTAAAAGAATCTCTCTAATGCTAAAAGAGACAGAAGAAAAATACAGGAACCCTAATCAGCTTTTTATTGTTGTCCATTTCTCATTGCAGATCTTCCCTCATTTTCTCTCTGATAAAAGGTTGTCCTTCGAACAGAAAGTGAGGGGAAATCACCCTAACAGAGCCCTGGACAGTGGATTTAACCCATCCTCACTCAATCCACAAGTAAAAAAAGAAAAAGTTTGGGTTATAGATGCAGTTTAACCCCTTCATGACTGAGCTTGTTTTAGTTTCTGTTCATTAATGACTGCAGCACTTACATTTTTGCTGTGTGATCCTTCCACGGCTGTAATATAAGTTTCTTACTTAGTGCACCCACACATTATATATTGTTTTTTACATGGCAGATAGGGTTATATATTTATATTACATATGTGTGCCTAATGCTTCACTAAGTACGAATAAAATATTTAAAAAATGAGGAAAACAATGCATCTTTATTTGGAAACCCCTCACATGCCTAGGATTTTAGAAATTATTCTGAAGTCATCGGCAGTGATTTCAGCCAAGAGTGTAGATTTGTTCAAGAAACGTTTGGACAATTTCTTGAGGTACCGTAATATCCAGGGATACCAGTATCCCTAAGAATGAGATGATGCATGGACCTATATGGGTTGGACTTGATGGACGTATGTCTTTATTCAACCCCAAATACTATGTAACTATGTAAGTTCTCAGCCTAAAACTTTAAGCCAACATTTTATTTTTTTTTCTCTAAAAACCAATAGTGGCCGTCTGGTTAGACAGGTGGCGCACAATGCCACCGTTACTAAGTTTCACACTTATTGACAGCGACATACTGTACTTTGAACATTGCCGTCATTTTAAATAAAAATGAACCCCTTAGGGTGAAAAACAAATCTGCAGATTTTACTTGTAAAATGTTAATTTTTATAAATTGATTAGTCACTATGACTGCTTTATAATTTAATTCATTTTTGGTTATTATTAAATTCTTTTGGTCGTGTGCCCTTCTTCAACCCTATTGGAGACAGATCGACGACCTTATATGTCAAATTACTGGTGAACAACTGGCTTTCAAGCCAGATGTCTATCTACTGCATATCCATGATGACGATGGTGAAGGACCACAGAAATCTCTCAGTAAGCATCTGATTAATGCAGCCAGATCACGAATACCCAGACTCTGGAGAGACATTAGAACTCCTTCACTCATCAAATTGATTAATCAGGTAAACTAAATCTCGGAAATGGAAGAACTTTCACCAAGCAAGACAAACTTACCAATTTCTCTAGATTGTGGGCTCCATGAACCCACTTTTATAGTGGAGAGGTCTATGCGAGACTCAAACATTGCTCTGCGTAGCTGTTAGAATACACACTGGTTATCTACTGACCCGTCCATAGGAAGGGGAGGGGAAGTACGCCCCACGAGAGTACGTCTCCGAGGACACACACGGTGTCTTTTCCCTGTATTGCCTCACTCTATGGTCTCTCCTTGAGTCCTCTGTACATCTACTAAGTAGGACTCTACTCTTTCTAGTGCTCGTCTTCACTGCCTTTATCTTGTCCTTTAATTACTTGCCTGAACCTCGTTTGTTGTAGCTACAAGAATAAATACTCTTTAGCCCAGGTCCAACAATATTCACGGTGTTTAGGGCCACACAGTGAATATTGCTGGACTGGGCTGAAGGTGCGTTTTATCCTGGTGGTTTGCTCTTGGAAGGAGGCAAGCAATTTAAACTTTAATATTCGAGCTACACCATCAAGACCTGGTCATACGTTTTTCTTTGAGGTTTTGTAACAGAAAACACAAAGATTGGAGAATGCAAGTGTACGCGTGACTGGTAAAAAATAAATAAAACATTAACGTGAACAAAGCCTTACCAGAATTTGATGAAATGCCACTGGTTCCTGATGTTTCGGTCTTCTCCTGGTTTCCCATTATGAAGTCTTCTTGAAAGACATGTAACAGTTGTGTTTTTCTGCCATGCTGAACACAAGACAACATAATTAGTACAGGGAAGTTCAAGCACCCATTCAAAACAAAATCTTCTTACTTACCAGACTAGTAATGGCATCCAGTTCTATAATGCATCCTGGTCTAGCAGTGGACTGCTGACTAATAATGTTAAAAACTTCCCCCACGTATTTCTGTAAATGAATAATTTAAAAAATTACTTTTAATGACTGAGCGACATAAAAGCTAGAAACCTGTGCATATACAAAGCTATTACTGATCCCACTTTCAATAGATCTATGATGAGCTCAGACAGACATGCTCATGCGCTTAGTGATGCTGCCTGTTCACTACTGGTCATACCCAATCATTTTACATAAGACAAGCTTATGGTGGTGCCAACAAACCTTACCCACGCCCACAGCACTACAGCAGCCTGGGCTGTGATACCAGTGATTGCACCATTGACTGTTAGTTGTGCAATTAACAGTCATTTCCAATTCCTAGCTATGCCATATGCATTGCACTTGGAGTTATCAATTTGCATCATTCATATACAAGTTGCTTTGCATGCTGTATTATAGTCTTAAGGGGCTATTTTTAAAAGGAGCTGGAAAAGTTTAGTTGGATGTTCAGTGAAATTTCTGGCTGCAAACCCTAAACCTGAGGCTTCAGACAAAAACTGAAGATTATTTCTGTTTATCACATGATTTATCAAACTGCCCTGCTTTTTTTCTTATTTGTGGATGCTGTCAAGAGTCTCCAGTGAACTGAAGTACTTTTTTCATTTAAGATTTGGTACTGTGTTGGAATGTAAATCTAAAGAATGTCAGTAAATAAAGAAGAAATGTCCTCTATGACTTCCTATATAACCATGTTTTAATGCCATTGAATCCACATCCTGAGAAGATCCATGCTATTGGTGCACCCATCCTTTGAAATATTACCAAATCTCACTTCCAAATCTGATAAAACGAACAGGCACAGGCAACACTGCCTTAGTTCTTACACTGCATATATAAGAGCTGAGAGGTTCTAGGTACATAAGTGCCTAGGTCCCTTAACATACCTGGAAGAACACGTTTTTATTCCCTATAATAAATGAAATCTTTACTTTTGGAGTTCAGATCCACTTAAAGCCTCCTATACTGGCAGCAGATCCATTAAGATGCTTATATTATCTGCAACATTTCTAAAAGTTTTTCATGACTGTGGAGTACTGGGTAGCGCCATGTTAAGTGGCTGACTAGTGCTCATATTTATATTGGACTTTTTCATTTCATTTTTCATTCAGGTCAAGAGATGACTTAAGGGTGGAAATATTGCAGCCTTCCACATGCTAGAGACTGAGGCGTTCCTATAAGATAATGAAAGTTATTAAAAAGTTATGTTGCTATGTGTGCAACAAGGTATTGACATTATCATGTTTTAATTATGTTTTTCTAATATTCAAATTAATTCAGGTTCATTTTGGGAATACTACATTTTTAATGAGTAAGGAACGGTGCGATTAAAAGGAAAATTATCCAGTGCATTCTTAATTTTTTTTTACATATATACGAGTGAACTCAGTTAACTAAACTGTTAAAGTATAACTGGCAACAACGGTATGAGAGATGTAATCTTACTGATGTCAGACAGTGGGGGGGAATTTATCAAAACTGGAGCAGACAGAATATGGAGCAGTTGCCCATGGAAACCAATCAGCTTCTCTCTTCAGTTTGTTGAGTTAAGATTTGAAAATGAAAGAGGGAAGCCAATTGGTGCTCCAGATTTGATAAAGTCCCCTCAGTATATCTTAGTGTACACAATGTTATCAATATGCACTGATGTATTTTAAAAATCTAGATATATTTTATATTATCAGTGTACATGGAGGCAGTTTTTTTTTTGACCCTCTCATCTCACTGCTGATTGATAATAGACTCTATTCAGTAATGAACAAAAAGCCAGAGACCATGTACGCAACGCTGCCTATGCTAAAAGCTGGTGACCAGGGCCTTTTCGGTCTTTGCAAGGAAGTATGTCTAGCCTTTAGGCCTCATTCACACAGATAACGGTCGGCCTGTACAGATCCATGCGGCGTGCACAGCCCTGTCGGGCCATTCCCAGGAAGGACAGGTGCTGCGTGAGATTGTAGGCAGCAGCCTGTTCTTCTCTATGGAAATACGTGGACGTTCTCCGCCCCGGACTGCACATCCGTGTGGGTGTCAGTGCTCGGACGCAGAGAGGATCCATCCTGTCTGCGTACAAGTACGGACACCCACACGGATGTGCAGTCCGGGGCGGAGAACGTCCACGTATTTCCATAGAGAAGAACAGGCTTCTGCGTACAACCACACGCAGCACCTGTCCTTCTGGGTAATGGCCCGATACGGATCTAAGTTAGCGGTGTGAATGAGGCCTTAACGTTAAGTTTCAAGTTTTCGATAGTGTGGGGAAGGCACAGAACTCCTGTTGGGTTTGACCACTATCCGATGCTCCACTAGGGACCTTTCTCCCTCAGCTACTGTTACTGACAACGGTTTCACCAGAAAGTGAAGGGAATTCTTCGACAGAAAAATGCTGTTTGGTATAGTAGGGAAAAACCTGTCATCTTTTATTGCTAGCTGTTACTGTTGAGTTTTTTTCCTCACTTCGCCTCTGGTAAAACCATCAATAAGTGAGGGGAAATCTCTTAACAGAGCCTTGGTTAGCAGTAGAAAAAAAAAACAAGGCTCTAATCATTTCCCACACTATTCTTGTAAAGCCCAGCAGAAACGTTGTTTTGTTTTGAATAGTTTGTCAATGTACCGTACTGATCCAACTGTAGTATGCATTTCATTGATAGGCTCACTTTAAAATTCTGTTAAAACATAAATCACACAGTTAATTGATTTTGTTGTGAGTATACAGGCAACAATTAAAAACCACTTACAGATATATCAGGATTGGACAGCTCACACAAGAGCTTTTTAGCATCAATGACAGCCTGGTACAACCTTAAATTTTGCCCATCACTGGCGACAAAACACGCACTTGGAGAATTGCAGTATGTACCTGAAAAGTACAAATAGGTAAGTTTCCTAGGCCATACCACTATTAGACATGATGTAGATAAAAACAAAGATTATTTAAAGAATTCAGAATTAAAAGAAATATAGCATTTCATTTTCTTTATTGGATGGCCACTGTATAATTTATCTTTGAGATCTAACAGCATTTTGTAATGCGGTGCTAGGACATTCCTCAAATCCTGTTAAAAAGGGCATGATGGCCAACCATTGTAGAATGTTAGAAAAAAAGCCAATACAATTTAAGATGATTAATAGAGGTGCCAAACTGATCAACCACATTACCATCTGTTACCTCATTCTTGAACCACTATAAAACTGGATAATGCAAAATGTTTATTTACATAAATGTAAACTAGACAATGTCAAATGTCATGATAGTAATATGTAATCCATTAAGGCAAAGCATTTTTTGTGGGGAGGCTCACCAAGACAACATGAAAGGGATACAAAGTCACATAAAGGTCTATAACCCACTAGATCAGGACCACAATTACACTGAGGAAAGACAAAAGACTAGACAGGTACTTACCTAAACAATAACTTGGTATAAGTGTAGGTAACCAAGCTACATTGGAGAAGGCAGAAACATGAAGGGAATTAATACGAGCCAGCTCAGAAACACCACCAGAAAATGAAAGAGGTCCAACAGGATCAACTCGCCAAAGGATAAGCTCACTGTACACTGCATTAGGATCCTGGTAATTTTCTGGTGATTCCACTGCATTATCATTTATCGAGCTATCTCCGCCTTGTAAAGAGTTTGGTGTCCCAATATCACCATTTTCCTCTGTTGGGGGCAGTGCATTGTGATGAGAAGTCGTCAGCAGTAGAGGCAAAACAGAATGGCAGGCAAGGTCATTCAGGTGAAAACGATGGCCACAGTATCGGGACTTGTGGGAAATGCTGAGCACAGTGGAAAAGGCAGATTCTTCAGCAAAGCTCACTTGCCACTGATTCAGGGAGCCATCTGCATGCTTGGATATCATTAACACATTAGGAGTAAAAATACTCAGCTTTAAGCTGCTTGATTTATTTTGCCCAGCAGAAATGAGCATAGAAGTGGATCGTGCCATAGATGCAGGTTTTTGTTTGCCCTGTTGAATGGCTAAGTCTACAACATGGAAACCAATCAGCTTCTCTCTTCAGTTTGTTGAGTTAAGATTTGAAAATGAAAGAGGGAAGCCAATTGGTGCTCCAGATTTGATAAAGTCCCCTCAGTATATCTTAGTGTACACAATGTTATCAATATGCACTGATGTATTTTAAAAATCTAGATATATTTTATATTATCAGTGTACATGGAGGCAGTTTTTTTTTTGACCCTCTCATCTCACTGCTGATTGATAATAGACTCTATTCAGTAATGAACAAAAAGCCAGAGACCATGTACGCAACGCTGCCTATGCTAAAAGCTGGTGACCAGGGCCTTTTCGGTCTTTGCAAGGAAGTATGTCTAGCCTTTAGGCCTCATTCACACAGATAACGGTCGGCCTGTACAGATCCATGCGGCGTGCACAGCCCTGTCGGGCCATTCCCAGGAAGGACAGGTGCTGCGTGAGATTGTAGGCAGCAGCCTGTTCTTCTCTATGGAAATACGCGGACGTACTCCGCCCCGGACTGCACATCCGTGTGGGTGTCAGTGCTCGGACGCAGAGAGGATACATCCTGTCTGCGTACAAGTACGGACACCCACACGGATGTGCAGTCCGGGGCGGAGAACGTCCACGTATTTCCATAGAGAAGAACAGGCTTCTGCGTACAACCACACGCAGCACCTGTCCTTCTGGGTAATGGCCCGATACGGATCTAAGTTAGCGGTGTGAATGAGGCCTTAACGTTAAGTTTCAAGTTTTCGATAGTGTGGGGAAGGCACAGAACTCCTGTTGGGTTTGACCACTATCCGATGCTCCACTAGGGACCTTTCTCCCTCAGCTACTGTTACTGACAACGGTTTCACCAGAAAGTGAAGGGAATTCTTCGACAGAAAAATGCTGTTTGGTATAGTAGGGAAAAACCTGTCATCTTTTATTGCTAGCTGTTACTGTTGAGTTTTTTTCCTCACTTCGCCTCTGGTAAAACCATCAATAAGTGAGGGGAAATCTCTTAACAGAGCCTTGGTTAGCAGTAGAAAAAAAAAACAAGGCTCTAATCATTTCCCACACTATTCTTGTAAAGCCCAGCAGAAACGTTGTTTTGTTTTGAATAGTTTGTCAATGTACCGTACTGATCCAACTGTAGTATGCATTTCATTGATAGGCTCACTTTAAAATTCTGTTAAAACATAAATCACACAGTTAATTGATTTTGTTGTGAGTATACAGGCAACAATTAAAAACCACTTACAGATATATCAGGATTGGACAGCTCACACAAGAGCTTTTTAGCATCAATGACAGCCTGGTACAACCTTAAATTTTGCCCATCACTGGCGACAAAACATGCACTTGGAGAATTGCAGTATGTACCTGAAAAGTACAAATAGGTAAGTTTCCTAGGCCATACCACTATTAGACATGATGTAGATAAAAACAAAGATTATTTAAAGAATTCAGAATTAAAAGAAATATAGCATTTCATTTTCTTTATTGGATGGCCACTGTATAATTTATCTTTGAGATCTAACAGCATTTTGTAATGCGGTGCTAGGACATTCCTCAAATCCTGTTAAAAAGGGCATGATGGCCAACCATTGTAGAATGTTAGAAAAAAAGCCAATACAATTTAAGATGATTAATAGAGGTGCCAAACTGATCAACCACATTACCATCTGTTACCTCATTCTTGAACCACTATAAAACTGGATAATGCAAAATGTTTATTTACATAAATGTAAACTAGACAATGTCAAATGTCATGATAGTAATATGTAATCCATTAAGGCAAAGCATTTTTTGTGGGGAGGCTCACCAAGACAACATGAAAGGGATACAAAGTCACATAAAGGTCTATAACCCACTAGATCAGGACCACAATTACACTGAGGAAAGACAAAAGACTAGACAGGTACTTACCTAAACAATAACTTGGTATAAGTGTAGGTAACCAAGCTACATTGGAGAAGGCAGAAACATGAAGGGAATTAATACGAGCCAGCTCAGAAACACCACCAGAAAATGAAAGAGGTCCAACAGGATCAACTCGCCAAAGGATAAGCTCACTGTACACTGCATTAGGATCCTGGTAATTTTCTGGTGATTCCACTGCATTATCATTTATCGAGCTATCTCCGCCTTGTAAAGAGTTTGGTGTCCCAATATCACCATTTTCCTCTGTTGGGGGCAGTGCATTGTGATGAGAAGTCGTCAGCAGTAGAGGCAAAACAGAATGGCAGGCAAGGTCATTCAGGTGAAAACGATGGCCACAGTATCGGGACTTGTGGGAAATGCTGAGCACAGTGGAAAAGGCAGATTCTTCAGCAAAGCTCACTTGCCACTGATTCAGGGAGCCATCTGCATGCTTGGATATCATTAACACATTAGGAGTAAAAATACTCAGCTTTAAGCTGCTTGATTTATTTTGCCCAGCAGAAATGAGCATAGAAGTGGATCGTGCCATAGATGCAGGTTTTTGTTTGCCCTGTTGAATGGCTAAGTCTACATTTTTAGTGCTTGCGTACAGTACTATACTTCGACAAAGGGAGTTTGCGTCACCAGTAGGAAAGGCTACAGGAATTCTACATGAAAAGGATACCTGAAATATAAAGCAATACTAATAAACCTTTAAATAATGCACTCTTACACAATTTAGTAATAAAATCATTAACATGGACTTCACAACTCTAGGTGCTTACTTGCATTTTCTCCCTTTACAGAAAATTTAGCAGTGCTAATAGTGATCTGCCCAAGTGCTGGTCCCAAGTCTTAAAACAAAAACAACTAGCGGTAGAGAACTGAAAGAGTAACTTTTTAACCCCCAAGGATTAGCATTTCGATCCATTGACAGGGCACTGGAAGACTACTCTGCCTGGATGGTGCCAGATGTCAAATCATGGGCATAACTGAAATCAATTCTAGCATCTGGTTTTGTCTGATAATAATTACCTGCACTTGGCGAAACATGCCAGGCTGATACTCATCCAACCAGTCGACATGCCATACAAGCAAAGAGCCATCCACAGGATGGATACTAAAAAGCATGTCTGGATTCTTGTTCCATTCAGAAAGCAGGATTTCAATTTCGTGATCAATAACAGATGGGAAGGAGACATTGGAAGAATGCATAACTGGTTTTTCACCATTCATTTCTTTTTTCTCATTTGGCAATTTTGAATCAACTCCTTCATTGTCATCATCTAAAACAAAGAGAAAGCATTTTAAAGAAATATAAAAAGAAAGAGAGACAACTAATAAAATTACTACTAGTTGGTTCCCGAGATGATGGCAGTACATATTTCCATGGTAAAGTCTATTTAAAAAATTACCAATGACGGAGACCCCAATGTACTAAGGTTTTCTTTGAAACACATGAATACTCATTATGCAGCTTGTCCACTATAATGGACATCACTCGTATCTGCATCCAACTGCAAAGACTATATGCATCAACTGGCCAGTATACAAAGACTCATCTCTGTTAGACCTCCCCTATCGAGAAAGTCAACTAGGGCTGCAACTAACAATTATTTTCATCGATTAGTTGGCCAATTATTTTTTGAAACGGTTAATTGGATAAAAAAAAAAACAGTAAATATCTTTTATTTAAAATGAAATACACAAATGCAGTGATAAAGTTTACTTCAGAACACAACTGCATGGACATTTTTTGCAATCGCACTGGAACGCAAGGTATTGCAGTACCATGCGTTTCAGTGCGGGTGATCACACTGCAGGCGGGAGACACGTTTGAGGTGCCATTGAAATGAATGGCACAACACACATCCCACAGCAGAGTTTGTCAGGCTGAATCCAACCATGACTTTTCTCACCTTTTTTAGATTTTTCTTTAATTATTAATGTATGTATTATAATAGACCTTTTAAATTAGCTTCATGGATGTAAAATAATCTGAATTGTACAACTCCAAGCCAATAACACACCGAAATTGGACAGAAAAATACCCGACTTCTGTTTGTTAGTATGCGCGCGTTTATTTAACTTTATTTTTTTAATTTTTTTTTTTTACATCATTCCCATCGCATGGGGGTTTAGAAGCCCCCTATGTGATTGCACATTGGAGGAGATACGTTTTCTTTGAGGTGGCATCAGGGGTCTATTATACCCCTGATGTCACCTTTCCACTTTACTGGGAAATGGCAGCTGAATGTAAACACAACAGACAGTGGCTAGGAGCAATAGCCAGCCTGATATTTGCTATTTTATACTGCGATAGCCATTAGCAGGCTGGATATTGCACCCAGCTACTGGATGAGAGACTTGATGCCGGCTTTCTACCGCCAGCAGAAGCTGGGCCACGGGGGCATGAGAGGAGAATCGTGGGCAGCTTCAGAGGAGAATCGTAGGCAGCTTCAGAGGAGAATCGCAGGCAGCTTCAGAGGAGAATCGCAGGCAGCTTCAGAGGCACAGAGGAAGCAGAGGATAGCAGGCAGCATCGGAGGCACAACAACGGTCTCTACTCCCTGCTAGGAGCTGACTGCAGCGCTGTGTCTCCTCTGATCGAAGGGGACACAGGACACAGCATGCAACAGCTGCCAGCGGGGAGGAACGGTGGTGCAGAGCGGTGGCAGCAACTAATTGAAAATCAACTAATTCGATACTGAGAATCGTTGACAACAACTCTCATTATCGATTAAATCGATTAGTTCTTGCAGCCCTAATGTCAACCTCTGGCTTTTAAGCCCAAAAAATATCTGCTCAGATACCGATATGAATGGGTTTTTCCTACATGTTTTGGCAAACTCACTGGTGTATGTCCCTACAGTAAATTTAAAAAAAAAATTCTATCCTTACCCCTTTATTTTTTTCATGGAATCACAAACAACCCAGCATTTTAAGGGATACCTTACAATAGCCTCTCTCTGATGGAGGACTAGCCTTGCCCAACCTTCAAATGTATTAATATTCCAACTTGTACATATTCACTGGTGGGGGTTTTCAGAGTCCAATAATGCTGCAGGTACTACTATTACCACAGAAGCTGCAATTCTGTGATTCTTCAAAACCTTTCATAACTATATGCACAGAAGACATTCTCCTACTTTTGCAAGTGTGGCATATTGCCAATGTCCCTGAAAATGTTCAATATTTTCCTAATGCCCAATTCTGGTAAAATCCACATCTGACAAGAGTTCATTAAATGCAAAGATTTTTCTTTTTGGGCATGGTTTAGTATTTAATGCCTTCAACATCTGTTTCAAGAAGCATTCCTTTTCAGAGTTCCAACAATATTATGCTGCACCCAGCTCTGCTTACTTTCACTACTTACAAATCTGGCATGCTACTGCTCAACAGCTGGGCTTGGACCTGGATTGGAGCAGCTGTTACTTCAGCCTGGGCACCAAATGCTGATCTTAACTGACAACTCAGTCCTACGACCTATGAAAACTAAGAGACTCAAACTATGGCAGAATGATTTTTCCAAGCTGGCTGAGGAAGCCTGGCAGGATCATCTAGGTTTCCACATCATAGTTACTAGTAATAAATTACTTTGTAAATATAAAATGCCTTACACATTTTTTATAATGGGCAACATACCTGCTCCCACCTGCCCTCAATGTCATCTACAGCCTGGAATTTTTTTATATATGTTTTGGAACTGTCCCAAGATGAGATACTTGTGGTCTGAAATTACCAGATTTACTGTACTGACAAGCTTTTTGCCTTCCTTACCAAAGATCTGTAATCCTGCCCGGTTGTCAGGATACAGAGCACCACCAGGTGGCGCTGGAGCCAGGTCCTGTAGTTCCTGTGCTCACCTGCGGGTGTCTCCAGCAGCCAGGAACTGTCAGTAACCTGCAGCTCCAGTACTCACCTGCGGGTGTGCCCCAGCTGTGACTGATCATCCCATCACCTGGTGCTTCCTGGGAGGGTATTTAAGCCCTCCCTGCAGTCAGGAAGCTGGCTCAATATTGCGTCGCCTGCACCCGACTGACTCCCCCTGGCCTGTGCCTTGGAACCTGAACCCTGCTTCCTATCTGCAACACTGTCACCGACCCGGCTGGTTACCCGACCACTCTCCTTGAATCCTGTTCCTGTACCGCGCTACCCTCCTGTTAACGACCCGGCTTGTACCTGACCACTCTCCTTGTATCCTGAGGCCTGCCGTATATCTGCAGGCCTGTTACCCCTCTTTGTTGCTATTCCCCCTGGCTGTAGGTGTGTGTTTGTCCCAACGGTGGGTTTGTTACTTCACTGCTAAATCTGTGGGGTGGGGGTGGGGGGTTTGTAGTTTTGTTGATGTGTAACAAATAAACTGTGTGCATATAACCCTATCCTGTGTGGGCATATTAATTTGGCCACCCTGCGTGGGTACCTACATGTGGTGTGAGGACGCCTGTGCATGGTACCCTGACACTGGTGCTTGTAAAGGTGCCCATACACCTTACAATTATCTGCAGATTTTCTGTGGTCAGATGGAAAAAGTGCAACAGATTGGCCCAGGTGGAGATTACTCCATCCACACAGTTAAGCGTAGATGGAGGAATCTGTTGCACCTTTTACAACTGACCACAGAAAATCTGCAGATAATTGTAAGGTGTATGGCCAGCTTTAAAGTGGATACATTAAAGACTCTGAAATGTTTAAATCACACCAAGTGTCTACGCAAAATTCAACAACTGGAAAAACCCCGAACCTCTAACCTAAAAGGTGGCCATACACTGTACAACCATCGCAAGACCTTAGTCTTGCGATGGTTGTAAAGTGATTAAAAAAACCGTACGATCTGCCCATCTTGGACAGGCAGATCGTACTCTCGATCATCGCAAGGGGGGTGGGCTTCCGATGACCGCAATGCTAAACGGGCAGTGTGCACGTGCGCACACCAGCCCGCTTGGCATGTGTCTCCCGAGCACACCAGCCGAAAATCGTACGATTCTCGGCTGGTTTTCTAGCGTGCTCCTTAGACAAAAGACGTGCGACCGTACAGTAGAAATGATCGCACGTCTTCGTTCACACTGCTCGATTCTAGTACGAGAATCGAGCAGTGTATGGGCACCTTTAGACAACTGGAAACAACTCATTACCAGGTGTTCCTACTTAATAAAATAACATATATAGCATGAGGTTGCCCAGATAAATTTAAGAAGCTCTAGTCTCCCTGGCTGGTCACACAGTAACTATAGCACTAGCCTAGTTATCCGTATACCCATTTTTAAAATAACTGGTAGAAGAAGTAATTGCATGTGCATATTTAGAGGGATTTGTAAGACAAGAAGGATGCAAACACTAATTGTAGAATTTGCAGCTTCCTGCTTGTACATAATATAAGCTTTATGCTTACGATTGATAATCTTGCACATTTCAGTGTTCATTATTCATCATTACAATGTTCTTAGAGGAAATGGCCCACCTTTTTGTCAAGATGGAAAAATAGATGGGTCTGTACATAGCTTCATTCTGAAAAAGCTATTTTTAATAGGACAAGGCTGTTTCCAAGGAAGGGAAGAAGAAACATTACTTATTTATGTGACTTGAGTGATCTATCTTTCTATTTTTGGAGCCAAAACGTTACATCGGTTTAGAAAAATAAAAGTAGGACGGCTTATTCTTCAGGGATTTTTCTTTATATATCCAATTAACACTACTATTTCACACACCATACCAACTCAAACATAAATGCACACACACAATAGGTTGGACTTGATGGACTTATGTCTTTATTCAACCTCAAATACTATGTAACTATGCAAGTAAACATGATTATTCTTTATATGCACATACGCATGCAGTTTTATGCGACAGCAATACACACCTTCTTCAGAGTTCCCTTCATCCTGGTTTGCTTTATCTATACCAGCCTCTGGAGACTGCTGTTCAAAGCTCTTGTTGAGCTGCTGAAGGAAGACCTCCATAGACAGAGAAAAGTTTAACTCTTTGTTATTCAGCCAGTGCACTACGAAAGGTCCACTTTTTTCTTCTGTCTCACTGAGGCTAATCGATGAAATAGATGGGAGGAGAGGAATGTCTAAAAAGAAAATACAGAAAAAAAAGTTAATCAAGGAGACTATAACCAAGAACATAACACTATACGCATTTATAAAATGAATCTTAAAAAACCTCCTATTCACTTTTCATGATGTTAAAAATGTAACTTAAAGTGACATTAAAGCCTCAGATTTTTTAACATAAAACAATAGTGTAATGTGTGCCTTACTGTAATCCATGGTTGTTTCCCTTCTCTTTGCTGCTCTTCCTTTTAAATCCGTATGTCTTCTCATGCTGGGCAGAACTTCTGTTTTGCAGCAGACTGCCTTGTCTCAGGAATGGATACACGGTGTCTGTGTATCCGTTTGTATAGGCTTGAAACCTGAGCCAGCACTACAGGAAGAGGCCCTGAGCTGAAAAGGGAAGTTCTACCCAAGAATGAGAAGACATGAGGATTTAAAAAGGAAGAGCAGCAAAGAGAAGGCAAACAACCATGGATTACAGTAAGGCACAAATTACAGTATTGGTTCATGTTAAAAAATCTGAGGGTTTAAATGTCACTTTAAAAGGTATGGTCTAAAAAGGTATACCATAGGTACACAACTATGAATTGCCCTGTAGAGTTTGCAAATAAAACACACAAACAGGCTACAGGATCCCTGCTACACTTGTCTAGCACAAATGTGCTTCTATATGTGCTTCTATATTAGAGTTTGAGGATGCCTTACCTGTGGCAGGGTTGATGGTAGCTGCAATGTGAAAGTGACAAAGTGCATTGGCATGAAAGGGTGCGTTCCGATGAACATCATGAGCACTGTGTTGATGGGGTGGATATCCTGTGTGAGCTACCAAGGACAAAGATCTCTTCCTGCCCCTACGAAAATGCCTCAAGTTCAACTGTTTGAAACGAAAATAAATAAATACTGCTGAATAATACTTCAGGCAAATATGAAGCTAACAATGGGGCTGGTGTCACAAAGCCCTTAGCAAGTTTTTCTGAGCTGTTAAAAAATTACTGTGTGGCTACATTAGAGGACTGATAGGCTGCCAAGATTTCAGTCCCAACGCAAGAGCAAGGCTACCTGCCTTATGTACTATTGCTTTCATTCACACCAAACCACACACCTGTGTTGGCGTATGCTGCACATTTTGTTGAGCAGCACGCTCCAACGCACTTCACTTCAGCACATAGAATTCACAAAGTTAACAAAAAATAAAGAGAAAGCATTATGTGTTACAACATTGTGTCATAACAAGCATGGCAACATGCATACACATTGCACATGCACTATGAAGCACTTGGGAGGGTGGGTGTCTAGAACTTAAAGGACAATTATACCAAAGGTAAGCTGTCCTTTAAGACACACACACACACACACACACACACACACACACAATGAATAGCTGAGACTGATGACCCTTATCTCTTGGTTCAGCTTTAAAGCTTCCTGTGTTATAATGTTTTTACCCATTCCTAACACTGGATAATCAATCAGCATCGCCTCTGTACAATAAGTACGCAGATGATACACAAAGATGTACAGCACAACCAAAAAATAATGCTGTCAATTTTGTGCAAGGCAGTGTGGTAGTGTTTTTTTTTTTAAGACTGGTTGAACAAACTACAAAGTCATACACAGGTAAAAGTTCACATATATGTATGTCAACGATTTAGCAGGAGTTGTGCTTTTGGCAGGACAGTGACCAAAGTACAATAGCCCATAACCATCATCAGAATTCTTTATTACTACAGTAACCTAACTTTACTGTGAAGGGTTTCTGCACATTACACACTTTCAATGCTCTGTCTACAGGAGCAGGACCTTGATAGCGGATTTAAAAAAAAAACTTAAATATAGTTACATGCTTAGTAACAATTAGCAGGACTTCTATGGATTAAAAACCTCAAGTCCATCCCCACCATCTTGATACCCTTAGTAACATGAACACTTACAAAAAAACTCTTTACTGCTCATACCTCTAATGCACTCTGTACTCGTTCTTTGTTTGAAGGGTTTCTTTTGAAATTATTTAAACCGTCTGGCTCAACTCTTTGAAAAAAAATTACTGTGTGGCTACATTAGAGGACTGATAGGCTGCCAAGATTTCAGTCCCAACGCAAGAGCAAGGCTACCTGCCTTATGTACTATTGCTTTCATTCACACCAAACCACACACCTGTGTTGGCGTATGCTGCACATTTTGTTGAGCAGCACGCTCCAACGCACTTCACTTCAGCACATAGAATTCACAAAGTTAACAAAAAATAAAGAGAAAGCATTATGTGTTACAACATTGTGTCATAACAAGCATGGCAACATGCATACACATTGCACATGCACTATGAAGCACTTGGGAGGGTGGGTGTCTAGAACTTAAAGGACAATTATACCAAAGGTAAGCTGTCCTTTAAGACACACACACACACACACACACACACACACACACAATGAATAGCTGAGACTGATGACCCTTATCTCTTGGTTCAGCTTTAAAGCTTCCTGTGTTATAATGTTTTTACCCATTCCTAACACTGGATAATCAATCAGCATCGCCTCTGTACAATAAGTACGCAGATGATACACAAAGATGTACAGCACAACCAAAAAATAATGCTGTCAATTTTGTGCAAGGCAGTGTGGTAGTGTTTTTTTTTTTAAGACTGGTTGAACAAACTACAAAGTCATACACAGGTAAAAGTTCACATATATGTATGTCAACGATTTAGCAGGAGTTGTGCTTTTGGCAGGACAGTGACCAAAGTACAATAGCCCATAACCATCATCAGAATTCTTTATTACTACAGTAACCTAACTTTACTGTGAAGGGTTTCTGCACATTACACACTTTCAATGCTCTGTCTACAGGAGCAGGACCTTGATAGCGGATTTAAAAAAAAAACTTAAATATAGTTACATGCTTAGTAACAATTAGCAGGACTTCTATGGATTAAAAACCTCAAGTCCATCCCCACCATCTTGATACCCTTAGTAACATGAACACTTACAAAAAAACTCTTTACTGCTCATACCTCTAATGCACTCTGTACTCGTTCTTTGTTTGAAGGGTTTCTTTTGAAATTATTTAAACCGTCTGGCTCAACTCTTTGATTGAACCCATCTCCACATAACAGGCTGTCATTGGGCAGTAACGTCTCTGCCCACAAACGGCAAATGTTGTCTTTGCAGCATGTCAGAAGAACGTTACACACAGATCCTCTGTAAAACAAAATAGGAAATGGTAACCAAGCATTGCAGCACAAATCAATATTTGGATATCTACAAAAGTATCTATTGTTTATTGTTAATAACAAAGTAACATATTTAGAATAATATATAAAGAAGCTTATAAAAAAAAAAAAAAACAAGAAT